TAATTTGCGATGCAAGAGCAGCAGAACAGTGAGCACTGGTCGTCCCCAGAGAGAAGTCTGAGTGAAAAAGCCCATGCCTTGGATTATAAGAGTACACCGAGATCGACGGTGATGATGATGGCAGTGATGATGCCCTCAGCGGAGTTGCAAGCCACGCAGCACACAGCCACTGACCTGATTCTGCCCGCCGTCTCCAACTCTCTCCCTCTCCGCAGCCCATCCCAATACCCCACCCAAGCATGTTTGGAGGTGGAACCACCAACACCTACGACGAGATCGTCGGTGAGTACCAGCACCCACCCCCGTCTCATCAAATTCTCACCCGATTGAACAACTTATCTCCTGACAGCAAAGACGACGGACGAGAATCTGACGAGCGAGAACTGGGAGCTCATTCTCAATCTATGCGACAAGGTCCTCGATGAGGGCCAGGAGGGGTGCGTCCTCCCATTGACCCATCACACGTCTCAGCTCTTTATCTTACACCCCCCCCCCGCTCCGCAGCGCACACAACGTTATAGCGGCGGTCCTGAAAAGGCTGGCGCACCGCAACCCGAACGTGCAGCTGTATGCGCTGTCGCTGGCGGAATCGCTCTCGAAGAACTGCGATATCGAGCTGCATCGGGAGATTGCGAGTAAGGCGTTTACGCAGGGGCTCGAGAAAATCATCACGGATCGGGTATGTCGTCCTTTCCTCTAATTGGGTTTTTGGACGTGCATTCTTGCTTCTTGCGTTTGGGAGTGCACGTACACCGGGAAGGGCTCGTCGTGGCGTCCCATTCCGGGTCGTCGCGACGGCTGGCAGCTGCGGATCGCGGCGCAGCCCTGGGTCACGCCGTTTACTGGAACCGTCTGAAGGATGGTTGGCGCCGCTACTTCCCCCATTGACGCACACCCGCCTGGCTTCATGCCAGATAAACGACAACATGGATCCCCTCAAAGGGATGTCCGACACCGTCTAAAGGATGGCTGGCATACTCTCCCCAAGGGCTTCGGGATTTAGGCCTTGTCGTGCTGTGGGCTTCATACAGCCCTAGTACCGTCGGGGAGCATACATCGAATGATTGGTGTGGTGCTATCCACGGAACATTTTCCCAATAGCTCATCGCGTTTATCTCGCGATCTGTGGGGTTACCCCTGAGCTGTGTACAAAGGGACCATTCCATGGCCCCCAGCGGTAACACCCCCATACCATCGCGACTCTACGCATGACCCACCCGGCCGTCTCGTACCATTCCATAATCGCTATACCATTTCCAAATGCACCCTTACCGTTTCCAAATGCACCCTTCTGACGACCCACGATCCACTCCACAGACAACGCATGATAAAGTGAAGAAACGCGCGCTGAGCCTCATCGCGGGGTGGACCGCCGATTTCGAGAAGGACCCCACACTTGGGGTTATGGAGGATTGTTATAACAGTTTGAAAGCTAAAAGTACGTTTTCCTCCTCCTTCCCCTCTTCCCATTCTCCCCCCTTCCGTCCTCCCCTTCCCCTTCCCCTTCCCTTTCTCGTCCTCCCCTCCCTTTCCCCATCGTCCTCATCCCTCTCCTCACCCGTATCGTATCTACCCTAACCCCACACTCCCACCCCCAGATTACAAATTCGAAGCCCCGCAAGAAGCCCCCCCTCCCGCCGTAGACGACGAGATCCGGCGCAAAGAGGAAGAAGAGCTGCAGCGCGTGCTCGAGATGTCCATGCAGGACAAGGGCGGGCGTGGGCAGTGGACGAGCTCGTATAACGCTGCTGCTGGGTCCTCTTCATCCGGTGCTGGGGCGAGTGGGAGTGGGGGTGCGGGTGTGGGGAGTGGGGGTGGGAGTGGGGGTGGGGGGTATGGGGCGACGAAGTATCAGGCGGGGTATGTGCCTGCGAGGACGCCGTCCCCGGCCCAGCAGCAGTTCGTGTCGCAGGGGGCTTCGCAGCCCAAGTCCACCTCCACGCCTACACCCCAGCCCCAGCCCCAGCCCCAAGCAGCAGCCATGCCCCCGAGCACCTCCGCATTGCAAGGGAGCATCGTCACGCGCGTGCGGGCGCTGCACACGTTCGAGCCGACGGAGCCGGGGGAGCTGGGGTTCGAGAAGGGGGAGGTGATTAAGGTGGTGGATCGGGGGTATAAGGATTGGTGGAGGGGGCAGTTGAAGGGAAGGACGGGGATATTTCCTGTTAATTATGTGGTGCGTTCCTTCCTTCCTTTCTTTCTTTCTTTCCTTCTTTCCGGTCCTTGTCCTGTTTCCGTTCCCTGGTTCTGTTTCTGCTTCCTGGTTTTCTATTCCGGTTGTTTTGGTTATGGACTTGTGGGATATGATGCTAAAACGGGACCTTGTACTGTATAGGAAGCGATGCCGGAGCCTACGTCGGCGGAACTGGCAAAGGAAGCGGAGCAGGAGGCGGCGGTGTTCGCGCAGGCGGTGAATGTGGAGAAGCTGTTGAATATGTTGAGGGGGTTGGATCCGGCGAAGGATAATTTGGCGGATAATGAGGAGATTCAGGTGGGTTTGGGGTCTTGCCTTTCTTTCCTTTCCTTTCCTTCCTTCTCTTCCCCCTTTCCCTTCGCTCCGCTCCCCTCCCTCCTTCTCCTAGATCGCCTTTTCCGTCATATGCATGCCTTGCTTTGATGAGCTAGGTCTGGCGACCAAACCATCATGTTCTTTCCTTTCCTCCCTTTCCTCGTCTTCCTCTCTTCCCATCCCTCCCTCCCTTCTCCTCTCCTTCCTTTTCTGTCATATGCATGATGACCTAGGTCTGACGACGAAACTTCCAACAGGAACTGTACAGATCAAGCATGGCGCTCCGCCCCAAGATCGTCAAGTTGATTGACAAGTACAGTCAAAAACGGGGTACGCGCGCCTTTCTTCCTTCCTCCTTCCTTCCTTCCCCCCTTCCTTCCTTCTACCTCATCCCTCCTTCCTCCTTCCCCCCTTCCTTCCTTCCTTCCTCCTTCCTCCTTCCCCCTTCCCTCCTTCCCCCCTTCCTTCCTTCCCCCCTTCCTCCCACCTTCCTTCCTTCCTCCCTCCTTCTCTATTATAAGGGGAATGAATACTGATGGGAATTGTATAGCGGATTTGGTGTCGATGAACGAAACGTTCGTGAGGGCGAGGACGATCTTTGATCGGATGATGGAGGAGAGTTTGGCTAGGCATACGGGGAGTGCGTACCTCTACCTCTTCTTCCTTGCTCTCCATTTCCGCACTGACACCCCCACCCTCAGTGTACGACCAACAGCCCTACCGCGGCCCCCAACCGCAATACCGCCCCGACACCAGCCAGCCCGGTCCCAACTACGGCTGGCCCCAAGGCGGGCCCTCGTACGCCGGGTTCCCGACGCCTGCTGCGTATCCTGGGGGGACGCCTGGACCGGGGCAGCAGGGGCCGGTGTATGACCCGAATACGGCGGCGTTTGCACAGGCTCAAGCTGTGGCACAACAGCAGGCTGCTCAGGCTCAAGCGGCTGCCCAAGCTCAGGCCCAGGCTGCACAACAACAGGCCGCTGCACAAGCCCAAGCTGCAGCGCAACAACAGGCTGCGCAAGCGCAAGCTCAAGCCGCTGCTGCTCAAGCTCGTGCCGCACAGGCCCAGAGTCCTCAGCCCGCCCCTGGGTACGTCGCGCAGGGAGGATATGCAGGTCAGCAGCCCGGTGTGCCGTATGGGCCGCAGGGACCCACGCCGTACCCTGCTCAGGCGCTGGCGCAGCCCCAAGTCCAGCCTCAACCTCTGCCGCAGGCACAACAGCCTCAGCCTCAGCCTCAGATTCAGCAGCAGCCTCAGCAGCAGTCGCCCCAGCAGCAGCACACCCAGCCCCAGCCCCAATCCCAAGCTCAACCTCAGCCGCAAGCTCAAGCTCAACAAACCCAGCCGTCACCAGACCCGTCGACATCTGGCCCGCCCTACGTTTATAACCCCGCCACTACGTATGCGGATCCGAATGTGCAGGCGTGGGCGCAGTATTATGCGCAGGGAGGGAAGGATTTGGCTGGGGCTGTGTATTTCGTTTCGGTGCCCGGGGTGACGGATGCTGCGGGTGCGGCTGTAGTTCCAGTACAACAGCAGGCACAACAGCAGCAGGTCCAACAACTCCAGCCTCAGCATCGACAACCTCAAGAGCAGGTGCATGTTCAGACTCAGCAGCAGCAGCAGCCCGTGGACCACGCTCAACCACAGCCTCAACATCGAAGCTCTCTTGAAAGCGGACCAGCATCGCTGGCGACACCGACTTCTCAGTCGTCGATTGATACCTTGCCTTACCCCGGTGACGTTGCCCCGTCTGAACTTGGATACGCCAGTGCACCATCCCAGCAGCAGCCTTACTCCCAGGAGCCGCAACAGCTTCCGTACCCGCAAGACGTTCAGCAGCAGCAGCCACAGCAGCCGCTCCCGTACCCGGGTTCTCAGGCACAAGAGTCCCTCCCGTACCCTGGTTCGCAGGCTCCAGACGCGCACCAACACCAACCCCAGCCGCAACCCGGGCAGCAGCAGCATCACCCGAATAACAGCAGCGTGGGAGGGGGTGCGGGGTCGACGCCGTCGTGGCTCCTTCCGAAGAAGAGCACGCCGCCGCCGCGTATCGGGGGTGGGCATGGGGAGGGCGGATCGTATGCGGGATTGGGGAATCAGTTTGGGGGAGCGGGTGTGAATGGAGGTGGGGAGTTGAGGTAGAGGGGGGGTGATGGAGGATTGAAGTCGTTGATTGAGGGTGTGGATGTGTGGGACTGTTCGTTTGATTTTTTGAGGCTGCATCCTTACTTGAGGTCTTGTCTGTTTGTCCTACGAGGCATACGTAGTTTCTTTTATTGCATTCTGTCTTTTCGTATCTTCAGTCTGTTTTCTTGGACGAGCGTTGCCGGGCGATTGATTGAGAAATCACGATCATCCGTGATGCAGGGTTGAAGGAAGTTGAACGGTGTCGGGAACTTGGAACGGGACCCGTTTGCCACTCGGATTTGTGAACTTAGCATGTCAGCTCAAAAAGGCTGCCTGAAGACTTCCCGAGTAGCATGTTGTTGCATTAAGAGAGAATCGAACTCCCGGCGGGTCGAGCGTGATCCAACCATTTATCCATGATATGGCAACGACCCAGGTTACCACTACCCCATTAATGCCTGTGCAGTGAGGCAAAGCAAAGCCGGTAGGAGTCGACCGATAGGCGGAATTACAATTGCCCAGAAAGCGCGAAGAAAAACTCTCTGCCTGGGAGTCGAACCCAGCTTTCGCGCGTAAGGGGTCCTGTTGATAATTATGACAAGCGCGTGTACTAACCGATATACTAGCAAAGACATACGTGTAATTGTTTAACAGGCCACGTCCACGACGTCGAAGAGGTCTCCGGTCTTGAGTCACTGGCACTTCCCACCAAGTGTATTTCTTGTATCGAGGCTCACCACGGCGTCATGCACTCACGTACCGTCTGACTCTGACTTGGACATCAAGGTATCGAAGAGCGGGGGCAGGAGTCCAGTCCAGCTGGGCCCCGGGACGACGCTCTGACTGTCAGCGCTTCAGCCTTGGCTTGATGTTGTCGCTCCACATCATCCCCTCGTTGAGCCTCTATAGTCTTATTGAAAGCTCACCTGGGTCCTGGGGTCGTCTTCTTCGAAAATCCAGCTGTAGTGCCCCCGACATAATTTAAAGGGCTCTTCCACCCAGGCCATCCCTTCCTTTCGACATCATTGAAAAAAAATCGTCACGAGGCGATTCAGAGCTTGCCGGCGATGAACGAGCGTTACAGAATTGGTGCAACCACCATTCTTAGCTCTGATTCGAAAGCAGCTATTCCGTGTTATCAAGTTGCAGGAATCGGTCAGGGCCCGACGTCTTTTAGACATTCTCTTCAATCTTGAGCACTCCAGAAATCATTGGCTGCATGCAGTACTTTTCGTCTGCGGCGGCGATGGATATATGACGAAAACGCCCTTTCACACATTTTCCTCATCATCTCCTGTGCAAAGCAGATCCGAAAGTCCTCAGCTTCGAGCGAAGTGGTGGCCTGATGTTCCTGTTCTTTCGCCTTACATCTGTAATTACCTTCGTGGGCCCACGATTCGTCTTCGTTCATCATATAAGTAGGACATACGTACCCCCTTTCCATTACCTCCTTCCGTACCTCCTTCGTTGATCAAAGTCGGATTTTTCAGCAAGTGTTGATTGAAGCTCAATGATGTCAGAAACGTTTGAGGCTTGAGCAAAAATTTGAACCTGTTCGCCTCGAAGTTCGAACGAAGGCTGAAGCTGGGAATCCTGGGATGTGCAATTTCAATGCAAACCTACAATGCGGACCGTTGTGGAACCAAAACGAATGTATGCATGACGCCCGATTGCATTAAGAGAGAATCGAACTCCCGGCGGGTCGACGTCGATTACACATTCACGCCCATGGCAACGACCCAGGTTACCACTACCCCATTAATGCCTGTGCAATAAAGCGAGGGACCTGGAATTGTCATCCACCATGAGGGTGTGCTTCAACTAAAAAGGAACTCTCTGCCTGGGAGTCGAACCCAGCTTTCGCGCGCTCGGGGAGTTGCCAGCCAATTATGACAGGCGCGTGTACTAACCGATATACTAGCAAAGACGATGAGATCGGCTGATTACTTGTACCCTGGACCTCGGGCGGGGGGTAGAACACGGAGAGGGGAGGAGAGGCCTACGTTTGGAGATCTGGTAACGAACGGACATGACGCTGTGGTCGTACATGAGCACCGCACACGCGTTAGAGAGAGAGGGAACGGGACTTGCCTGGGTGTACAGTATTCTTTGGTGTTGAGGCTCTCGTAGATCTTGTTCCCATCCACCACTTGCTTGTCGAACGTGGCCCAGAAGTGCAATTCGCTCGTCACCACGACCGCCCTCGGCCGCGTCGCATGTTCCTCAGCTGTCCTGAGCATCCGTGGAAGTAATCGCAAGGCGAGTAGCTCAAGCGATAGGCAGTTAACCTGTAATCTACATCCACCATCTCAGCGCTCTCGTAGGTGAGTAGGTGAGTAGTTAAGACAAGAGGACCCACATTTTCTCCCAGCCATCTGGAGATGTCTCCTACGTAAATTGCGTGCAACTTGCGTTCTCGACAAGAATATCCAGTCCACCTTCGTCCTTGTCGAATTTATCAGCAAACTCCGTCACGAAGGAGATTTCACACAGGTCGATGATCCATAGCTCCGCTGCTTTATAACCAGTTTCTTCTCGTAACTCTGCAAGCGTTACGGTCAGCTATGCCTGAGACTGTAACAGGAATGGCGGACTCTCAAGCGCGGCTTCGCCCTTCGTCATGCTTCGGCAAGCCACTGAGATAAGGTGTGCAGGATTCATGCTAGCAAAGTGATGCTAGCCTCAAATCCCAAACCGGTGTTGGCCCCTATCACCATGACCGTCTTCCCGGTAAGGTCGGCTGTGGCGACGGGTGGGACCTTCATGCATTGTTCGTAGAAGAAGTCCAAGACCGTGAGTTTTCCCATCGTGAGGATTGCGAGAGGAACTGAGATATGTGTTTGGCTTTTAGAGCCCTATCGTAATGGATCTTCTGAGTCGAGAGCCTGGAGTATACCGACATTGCATCAGTTTCTGCCGCTAAAATTCATATCGTGCGGATGATTACCGAATGATATGCGTCAAGCTGTCATTCTGAATGACGGAGGCGTTGGCCAGAGACAGCTCGTGAGAGGGCAGGGTGAAGCCTTCCGAGGTCAATAGGGACAAATAACACGCTTAATATTTTCTCCCACTCCTGCTTGTCCCCCGCAACCTGGACTCGGACGGGGCGATTAAGCCACGGCTTCGATCAATAAGAAATCTAAGACGACTTTCGAGCTATGTCCGATGAAGATTCTGAATTCAACTCAGATGGGTACGGAGAGAAGAAACCAAAGGTAAGGATGCATGCCCGTCGTCTTCAAGCCTTGCCTCGACTTTGCATCTCTGCAGCGTCGACTGATCCAGAGAAAACGCCGGAAAGTTGATTCGCGGTTGAGTATCGCAACCGAAGGGACATTGCATCCTTCTCTCCCCCGTGCTATCTTCGATGAATTCGGCAATGGCGATTCCAGCATCGCATCATTCCAAGATATCATCGACCGAATGCTTCCGGAATATCTACAGACGCGAGCGAAGCTCCAAGAAGAAGCCATTGAAATTGATCGAACCGTACGTAGGTGCGCTACATTCTCCCCGCGGCGCGTCAGGTAACGGTATTTTCTTAGGGACAACCCCTTCGACCACCAACACGGGCTGAAGTCTCGTCGCTCATCAATACTCTTCCACGACCAGATGATGCCCACTCTGTGTCTACTGCGATCACGACGCGTAAACTTAAACTCATCCGGGTACAGCCTTTCATCCCGTACTCCAGATCCATGACTTACAGTCACACAACGACAGGAAAAGCGACGCGCCAAACTTCCAGAGACGAACATACAAACCTCGGACACCCTCACGCCTCTTCCTCCATCTCCCCCAAGTCTCCGTCCTCATCCGGAGGTCCTCGACGCCCTTTACAGCATCAAAACGACACCATTCCAATCATCGTTCCTATCCCGCCTTCGAGGTACCGCCGTGGCACCAGCCTCCCCAGCCATAGCCGTGGATTGGGAAACGATCACTCCCTGGATGGATCTTATGGCTGATATCCGGACACATCATGCCCTCGCTCAGTGAGGACCATAGCAGATATCATGTCTCAATCGCTGATACGTGTCCTCAGTCCAGAAACGGAACAGCCCATTGAGATCGTAGCGCCCATCGTCTATACCACTTTGGAGAAATCTCATCTACCGGAGGTCCATGGGCTCCTCGAGCGGGGCTTTTGGAAAGGGATCGATGGTGTGAAACCCTTCTCCATGTCCGTCTTGGTACCGCAAGCTAATAGGTCTCCGCAGTCAGTGATTCGCTCGAACATTCGCCAGAACGGTGCACGATCGTAGCGACATATAAACGATTGGTCGTTGGGATTGCCATCCTAAGTTCTCCGCGAGAGACGTACATCACCTACCTCGCCGTCAGAGCCGGCTGGGACAACTCCGGCATAGCACGGTACGCGCCATCCCACTGTCGAACCCTAGTGTGTCGTTAACTTGGAGCGCAGATCTATGCTCTATCACCTCATTAAATTGAACCCCGGGATGGACATTACGCTCCATGTCTCAGTCAATAATTCGGCCATGGTATTGCTTTTCTAATTCGTACACTGAGAGATGTGGAGGCTGAATTTTGGTTTACTCTAGCTTCTTTACAATCAGTTTGGGTTTAAGGCCGAGGAATTCGTGGCTGGCTTCTATGAGGATTATTTGGATCCTAGTTCGCGCGCATCGAAGAACGCCTTTCGACTGCGATTGCGACAGCGCTGACAGGTTGGGACGTTGGCTCGTCATCCTGTTGGGCGCCGCCTCCTTTGGTATCCGCGCATGCCATCGTCACATTGCACAAGCACTTCTGCTGAGCATTGGCCATTAAAGAGGACGAACGCCCAGAGTCTCCACATTGGGTTTGGTCTCTGAACGCAGCTTCCACTACGATTACTTCGAAGTAAACATGTCACTCAAGGATGGGAAGGGCTGGCACTGTTCATTCTGGTTAACTCCTGGTACTTAACGGAACCTTTCTCCGGGGTGATCATGTGCTGTGCACAGAAATAGTCGTCTTCGAAGTCGATTCCATCGCGCCGACAAGGATGCGACATAGTATCATTGAATGGAATAATGGCATGGGCGCAGATACTCCGACACGGAGTGTTTATATGACCGCCTGTGACTTCCGTGATTGGCACGTCCAGGGATTCATGTTGACGAAGGATGATGTCAGGGTTTGGATAGATGGTGCCTCCTTGGCTTGGGATCAGACATACATACACAGCCGCAACATGACAACATGTTCTCCCAACATCTGGTTAACCCTCGTGGCGTATAAGGAAACCTCAGACAAGAGCAAGCTACCGGGACTCGTGAGATCGGCCTATATCAGATATCACCGGAAAGACTACGTGCGTATTGCTTCTCTTGGTCGACTTCAGCATAGCCTAAAGCCACGATAGTACTTGATGCGGATCGCTCTGCGATGGCTTGAGTCAACAAGCCCTCCTCCATCCAATAGTAGCTATAGCGAGACGAACACACGGCTCGATTCCTCACTCGAGGGGTGTACTAGACGCCTGCGGGTAGTGCCCGCAATCGGACCGCAAACGTGGGCCGCGACCATCAAATGACCGGAACATACCAGATCTCGGCGCACACTGTTAGATTCAACAGCTCCGAGGATACACATGCCGCCTATGACGTCTATCGGAATGGAGCGGCCATTCAGGGAAAGATTTTCTTAAATTGGAGTGACCCGATGGGAGAATATCCTTGCTACGCCTACGGGCGTGCTTCTCATCGCTGGGCAGCGGCTCAATGTGATTATCACCAGTTCTGGCGATGGATATACACGGGCGGATAGTAGTGTCAAGTTTGTCCGAGTATCTTGACTCATTGTCAGGTCAATTCATTGCTTATCGTTGAGAAACTTCTCACTGTCTACCACAGGCTGCAGCGGCATTCCGGCATCTCGTCTATATTTTTCTTTCAGTATATCTTGCGTTGAAGACAATGCAAGCAGAAGATTTGCATCATGCACTGACGACTTTGATTTCCCGCGGACTGATTACCCATGACCGGGTCATTCACGTCCCTGTGAAACTGTTTACGCCCGGCGCCCTTTAATATGGGCGCTAAAGAGGCTTTGCGGTTGCCTCATCGACGAGTTATCCCCATCCCGAGACTTCCCTGAAATCTGGATTCCTTCATGCAAGCAAGATACTGCAGCCCATGAAAATTTGGCGTCTTGTACTAGTTTCTTATCTTGGACAAACCTTGTTCTATTCTGACGCCAATGGTGCATTCTTCAGAATTCACACAAGTGTTTGGCCTGTTGTATCCATGCGTTGTCTATGCGCAGCGCCGAGGCCATATTCTTGGGTCGTTCTTGCTTCTTACACATGCAGGAACAAAGAACAAAGTTCTGGCAATACCCGAGTTGGAAGCACCGCTGAAGCGCTGGGGCAACTTCTGCTTGAGTAACCAAGGCACCGCGACAGCATTTGTCGGACCTGCGTGGCATTTAACGACTCAGCGCCTCCCTTCGATCTGGTCTAAAACGTGGACTCGCCATGAAAACGACCATAACTCATGTCAGCCCGAAAACAACACACGGGTTGATCCCGTTTCCCTCCCTATAAAGCCTTCCCGGGATAATGTACAATGTCCAATCAAAGCTGCTTCCCGAGCATACGCTTCTATCATGCCCACATTCCGAGTAGCCCCCTTTCCCCAGGAGCTCGTCGACATGATCATCGACGAGGATCCAGACGACCTCGAGACCCTGAAAACCTTCGCTCTCGTCTCCAAAACCTGCCTTCCACAGGCTCGCAAGCATCTGTTCAGTCTGGTCCATTTCCTTACCGCTGCCTCCAACCCCACCATCGCCAGAGAAAGCCACGCGCGCTTTCGCTCCATCCTCTCTCGAGATCCAAGAGTAGGAACCTACGTGCGGGAGCTCTTTGTCCGTGACACTGTGAGTGATCCCTCCGACGATCGCGAATCGTGGATT